CCGCCGTGTCCTCAGCCGCCACCCCCGTGCCAAGTCCCATTACCCGACCGGCATATCACATGTGCAGGGCGCAACGGTGTCACGCTGTGCTGCACCTGGTATGCCTTGGCGAACGTAGTCACACAGGGGAGGAACTTCTGAGTGTAATGAACAGAGAAATCGACAGATGGCTGTCTCCGCGCAAACTGAAAATCGGAACCATGTTGACCGACAACGGAAAGAACATGGTGTCTGCTCTGCGTCAAGGAAGGTTGTGCCATGCGCCATGCATGGCTCACGTGTTCAATCTGGTTGTCAAGCGGTTCCTAAAATCCACCATCCCACTGCAAGACATCCTTAAAATGTCACGTAAACTTTGCATGCATTTCAGCCATTCCTACACCGCAAAGCACACCCTCCTTGAGCTGCAGCGGCAGAACGGAATTCCACAGCATCGCCTGATCTGCGACGTTGCAACAAGGTGGAATTCAACCCTACATATGTTAGACCGCCTTTACGAACAGCGAAAGGCCATCACCGATTTCCTGATGTTACAAGCGGATAAAGGTACTCCCCTGTGTAACTTAGATGTCAGCCATTGGCAGCTCATGCGTGACACCTGCCGCTTGCTCAGGCCCTTTGAGGAGGCCACGCTATTCGTGAGTCGGCAGGACTATGGGATGAACGACGTCATTCCTCTGTTGCACGTCCTGGAACAAATGCTGTTAACAATGGCTGGTCAGGGTGCGGTAGACGTGGCGCACAGATCTCAACGCCACATGACCCCTGTGGGGGCAGGACAGGAAGAAGAGGAGGAGGTAGAGGAGGACATTGGTGCTCAGGAATTATTGAGTGAAATGGGTGGTTTTTCCACTCAGCGGACAGGAGTGGAGGAGCAGGAGCATCTGGTAGAGGAGGAGGAGGAGGAGACAGAGGACCCAGACGCACCGTGGCAGTATGCTGTGGAGATGGAGGCAGGGAGTCCCTCGCATTCCTTGGCACAAATGGCCCATAGCATGCTCGGTTGCTTGCGTAGCGACAGCCGAATAATAACCATCAGACAGAGGGATGACTTTTGGCTGTCCACCTTGTTGGACCCTCGCTACCGTTCAAAAATGGTGGCCTTTTTCACACCTGCTGAGAGGGAGGCCAAAATAAAGTACTATAAAAACCACCTATGTAGTCAGTTGGTCTCTGCCTTTCTGCGCCAACGTCCATCCTCAGACACTGTGGGCCCTGTGCGCTCGCGTTCCGCTGCCATGGCAGCAGGGGAGGGGTGGGGTGGTAGGAGCAGTGGCAGCTCCACCAGCAGCGGCTGCCTCAGTCTGCAGTCGATGATGAGTAGCTTTCTTCACCAGCGCAGTGAGGAAACTACTAACCAGCCGCAGCAGCAGCAGCATCAGGTGGACCTGGAGCAGGACCTCAAACAACAGGCTCGGGCCTACTTGGACAGCACCCTGCCAACCGAGGTAGACAATCCCCTTGACTACTGGGCAACGAAACTTGACCTTTGGCCCCAACTAGCTGAATTTGCCCTTGAAAGGCTGTCATGCCCGGCCAGTAGCGTGGCATCGGAGCGCGTGTTTAGTGCGGCAGGAGGTATTGTAACTCCGCGGAGGACACGACTGTCCACCCAAAGTGTGGAGAGACTCACGTTTGTGAAAATGAATCAGGCGTGGATTAGTCTGGATTTCAAACCACCAGTTCCTGACACAACTGACTAAATCCGCCATGAATCATGCCCCAAACATGTTATTATTTTTAACATAGGCCTCTGTATGGCCTTCAATTTAAGCTGCTTACGCTTCGCCACTCTGCCATGGGCCCCTGTACCGCCTCCTCTTGCTGCTGCCAGGTCCAGAGTGTGTCATGGGTCCCTGTACGGCCTCCCATTGCTGCTGACTTCATCGCCAGACTCTGCCATGTGCCACTTTCAGGTCTCCTTACACTGTGTGGTGGGTTCCATTTTGTGATAGGGTGCTGTATGGCCTTCCATTGCTGCTGCCTCCACCGCCACCCTGCGCCATGTGCCTCTGTCGTCTGCTCACGCTGCTGACGGCTTCCGCTTTTTTTACCGAGGCCTGTGTTTGGCTTCCGAATACTGCTGCATCCACCGCCACCCTGCGCCATGTGTCTCTGTCGTCTGCTCACGCTGCTGACGGCTTCCGCTTTTTAACCTAGGCCTGTGTATGGCTTCAGAATAATGCTGCCTACACCGCCACCCTGCGCCATGTGCCTCTGTCGTCTGCTCACGCTGCTGCCAGGTCCATACTGATTCATGGCCCCCTGTACCGGCTCCTCATTAACGTGGTTCAGCGGGTTTGCATCACTTAACGGCAAATCGTTGACAAACGCTGGGACGTTCAGTGTTGTGCGCATTAAGCCAGACACCAAAGGGCAGCACAGACCTGTTATTACTCGCTCAAGCATGGCTGAACAAAAACCAGTCTCTACCACAAAATTGGACCCAGACCTGCCCAGGGTCTCGTAAGTAGATTGCACGGAGGAGTAGAGTTCGTTATTGGAATTAACTGTGAGGGACTTTTAAACCTAGGCCTGTGTATGGCCTTCAATTGAAGCTGCTTCTGCTCCGCCACTCTGCCATTGGACTCTTGATAGTCGTCGACTATCAAGAGTCCAATGGCAGAGTGGCGGAGCAGAAGCAGCTTCAATTGAAGGCCATACACAGGCCTAGTTTAAAAGTCCCTCACAGTTAATTCCAATAACGAACTCTACTCCTCCGTGCAATCTACTTACGAGACCCTGGGCAGGTCTGGGTCCAATTTGTGGTAGAGACTGGTTTTGTCTTCAGCCATGCTTGAGCGAGTAATAACAGGTCTGTGCTGCCCTTTGGTGTCTGGCTTAATGCGCACAACACTGAACGTCCCAGCGTTTGTCAACGATTTGCCGTTAAGTGATGCAAACCCGCTGAACCACGTTCATGAGGAGCCGGTACAGGGGGCCATGAATCAGTATGGACCTGGCAGCAGCGTGAGCAGACGACAGAGGCACATGGCGCAGGGTGGCGGTGTAGGCAGCATTATTCTGAAGCCATACACAGGCCTAGGTTAAAAAGCGGAAGCCGTCAGCAGCGTGAGCAGACGACAGAGACACATGGCGCAGGGTGGCGGTGGATGCAGCAGTATTCGGAAGCCAAACACAGGCCTCGGTTAAAAAGCGGAAGCCGTCAGCGCATGAGCAGACGACAGAGGCACATGGTGCAGGGTGGCGGTGGAGGCAGCAGCAATGGAAGGCCATACAGCACCCTATCACAAAATGGAACCCACCAACAGTGTAAGGAGACCTGAAAGTGGCACATGGCAGAGTCTGGCGATGAAGTCAGCAGCAATGGGAGGCCGTACAGGGACCCATGACACACTCTGGACCTGGCAGCAGCAAGGAGGAGGCGGTACAGGGGCCCATGGCAGAGTGGCGAGGCGTAAGCAGCTTAAATTGAAGGCCATACAGAGGCCTATGTTAAAAAGTCCCCCCAGCAGCAGCGTGGGGAGACGACTATTAGTCGTCTCCCCACGCTGCTGCTGGGGGGACTTTTTAACATAGGCCTCTGTATGGCCTTCAATTTTAGCTGCTTACGCTCCGCCACTCTGCCATGGGCCCCTGTACCGCCTCCTCATGCTGCTGCCAGGCCCGTAATCTGCCATGGGCCCCCGTACTGACTCCTCATGCTGCTGCCAGGCCCGTAATCTGTCATGGTCCCCTGTACCGCCTCCTCCTGCTGCTGCCAGGTCCAGAGTGTGTCATGGGTCCCTGTACGGCCTCCCATTGCTGCTGTCTCCATCGCCACACTCTGCCATGTGCGACTTTCAGGTCTCTCCTCACACTGCTGGTGGGTTCCATTTTGTCATAGGGTGCTGTATGGCCTCCCATTGCTGCTGCCAGGCCCGTAATCTGCCATGGGCCCCCGTACCGACTCCTCATGCTGCTGCCAGGCCCGTAATCTGTCATGGGCCCCTGTACCGCCTCCTCATGCTGCTGCCCCTGTACCGCCTCCTCATGGTCCAGAGTGTGTCATGGGTCCCTGTACGGCCTCCATTGCTGCTGTCTCCATCGCCACACTCTGCCATGTGCCACTTTCAGGTCTCCTCACACTGCTGGTGGGTTCCATTTTGTCATAGGGTGCTGTATGGCCTCCCATTGCTGCTGCCAGGCCCGTAATCTGCCATGGGCCCCCGTACCGACTCCTCATGCTGCTGCCAGGCCCGTAATCTGTCATGGGCCCCTGTACCGCCTCCTCATGCTGCTGCCAGGTCCAGAGTGTGTCATGGGTCCCTGTACGGCCTCCCATTGCTGCTGTCTCCATTGCCACACTCTGCCATGTGCCACTTTCAGGTCTCCTCACACTGCTGGTGGGTTCCATTTTGTCATAGGGTGCTGTATGGCCTCCCATTACTGCTGCCAGGCCCGTAATCTGCCATGGGCCCCCGTACCGACTCCTCATGCTGCTGCCAGGCCCGTAATCTGTCATGGGCCCCTGTACCGCCTCCTCATGCTGCTGCCAGGTCCAGAGTGTGTCATGGGTCCCTGTACGGCCTCCCATTGCTGCTGTCTCCATCGCCACACTCTGCCATGTGCCACTTTCAGGTCTCCTCACACTGCTGGTGGGTTCCATTTTGTCATAGGGTGCTGTATGGCCTCCCATTGCTGCTGCCTCCACCGCCACACTGTGGCTCCACACTCTGGTTTTGGCCCCGTGACTGCCCAAATGAGTGAAGTGTGCGGTGATTCTAAGATCGACGGCACTCATCTGCATGTCATACTGACTGACAGTATTATTTCTCTTCCCCAGCAGACTCCAAGGGCATTTAAATTAAAGGTACAGTGTTCTGCACTAATATAAAGGCTCTCTGAAGCCTAGAAACACCCTTTTTATACGTTAAATTCGCAGCGAATATATTCGCCTCAAATCGAATTTATTCCGCGAATTCGGCGAATCAGCCGAATCGAATTTTTGAATAATTCGCTCATCTCTAATAGTGATTGCAGGGTCCAGTGGAGACCAGATATAGTGAATGCAGAGTCCGGGGAGACCAGATATAGTGAATGCAGGGGCCGGAGAGACCAGATATAGTGAATGCAGGGTCTGGGGAGACCAGATATAGTGATTGCAGGGTCCAGTGGAGACCAGATATAGTGAATGCAGGGTCCGGGGGAGACCAGATATAGTGAATGCAGAGTCCGGGGAGACCAGATATAGTGATTGCAGGGTCCGGGAAGACCAGATATAGTGAATGCAGGGTCCGGGGGAGACCAGATATAGTGATTGCAGGGTCCGGGGGAGACCAGATATAGTGAATGCAGGGTCCGGGGGAGACCAGATATAGTGATTGCAGGGTCCGGGGGAGACCAGATATAGTGATTGCAGGGTCCTGGGAGACCAGATATAGTGAATGCAGGGTCCGGGGGAGACCAGATACAGTGATTGCAGGGTCCGGGGGAGACCAGATACAGTGATTGCAGGGTCCTGGGTTTAGTAACATTAAGTGTATGCCTGTCCTATTCCTGTCAATTGGGAGGCAGTGACTATACAGACACAGCCACTGCTCTCAATTTGACATCATCACAACTGACTTGAATGGGACCGTCTGCACGGCATCTATTTATTCCAGTGGCCCTCACATGGGTGGACACTGTAGCATGCCCCAAGGTCTAAATGTCACTGAATATGAAACAAAATGTATCGATTCAAGAGATTTTTGTCCTCAGTTATCAAAATGTCTAAATAAAAAAAAAAAAAAAAAAACTGTCTGGATCACACTGTTGCAACCCCAATCATGCAACTTCCAGTGCGACTGCATTGTGACTTCAAAGCGAATTTCATGCAACTTTGATGTTTTGTGACTTTAACCTATAAAAAACCCTCTGAAGTCGCACAAGAGTCGGAAAGACATGACTACTTTGTGACTTTTGTGATTTTAACACTGCAGTCTATGGCACTCATGTCACACCAAAGACACAGAAACGTGGTGCAGGAATTATTGCATTCCATTCATTTGTAAATGTGTTTTTAAATGAATGGCGACTTTCTTTGTGGCAGGTCACACGAAGTCACACCAGAAGTCGCAGCAGTTTGAACCAATGCTAAAGAAGGCCATATATGGTGCAGAAGGCTGAACAAAAAAAAACAAACTATTTCCTCATCCACACATTGGTGATGGATAGGGGAATCCTCCCCGCTGTGCTTTTGTATTCTGACAGCAGGGAGACTCCCTGCTGTCAGAACACACAGATCAGAGCTGCAGCCTCTGATCGAGTGGCTTTTACATAACAGTATGGTTGAGCAAAAGTAGATTGGTGGATCAGCTTCCACTAAAGTGGCCATACATGGATCAGAATTTTTCCAATCCCTGCTGCAACAGACACAGGAGGTCAGGGGTTACTGGAGACATTTGGTTATGGTTTCTGTGGGTGGACAGGGTACTAGGTGTAATCCTAGACTCCAATCTGTCCTTTCAGCCCCAGGTCCAATCGCTGAAAAACTCATGTAGACTTCACCTCCTCAACATCTCTAAGATACGACCGTTCCTAACCCCAGAAACCACTAAGCAACTCATTCACTCCCTTGTTATATCACGCCTCGACTACTGTAACTCCCTCCTCACCGGCCTACCTCACCGCAGGCTATCCCCACTTCAGTCTATCATGAATGCTGCGGCCAGACTCATCCCACCTTGCTAACTGTTCCGTATCTGCCACCCCCTCTGCCAATCCCTCTGCCAATCCCTCCATGAATTGCCCAACGGATAAAATTAAAACCGCTAACTGACGTACTTCATAACACTGCCCCAAACTACATCACCGATCTTGTCTCCAAATATCACCCAAACCGTACTCTCCGCTCCTCACAAGACCTCCTACTCTCTAGCTCCCTTGTCTCCTCCTCCCATGCTCGTCTCCAGGACTTTTCCCATCCTCTGGAACTCCCTACCCCAATCCATCAGACTATCACCTACTCTGCCCACCTTTAGGCGCACTCTGAAAACCTCTCTCTCTCAGGGAAGCTGCCCTCAGCTAATACTGAACTCCTCTACTCTTCCAACCACTCCATCCTCCACAGCTATTTCCTCCTGTACCACTATCCCCTCCCTCCTAGATTGTAAGCTCCAAGGAGCAGGGCCCTCGAACCCCTCTTGTATTGAACTGTATTGTAACTGTACTGTCTTGTGTACGGTCTCCCATTATAATGTACAGCGCTGAGCAAACTGTCGGCACTATATAAATCCTGTATAATAATAATAATAATATGGGCCTGTAGAATGCAGAGCAGACAGATACTTTTATAGTAGGAAAAAAAAATCTTTAATTCACAATTCTGTCCTGAATACAATGTGTTTTTTCAGTTTATTTAGATACTGTGATGTTACTATGGCTAAAACAAGACTTTCGAACTCTCAAGATACAGTCCCATCCTGCATGGGACAAGTAACTGAAGATGCTAGTTTCTGGTGAATGGTTAAACGGAGTTTCCTAACATCAAACATACACATGGCCAAAATTGTGTGGAAAACAGACCATCACACTCATAAGAGGCTGCTGGACATCCCATTCCAAAACCATGGTCAGTAATTCGAAATTGGCCACTCTTCTGGGAAAGCTTTCTACAAGAATTTGGAGGGTTTCCGGGAATTTGTGCCCATTCAGACAAAAGAGCATGTGTGAGGTCAGGTACTAATGTTGGACAAGAAGACCTGGCTGGCAATCATCATTCTAGTTTATCCCAAAGGTGATCAGTAGGGTTGAAATCAAGGCTTTGGAGGCTGCTCGAGTTCCTGCACTCCAAACTCATCAAACCATGTATTTGTGGAGCTGGATTTGTGCAGAGTAGCACATTCATACTGGAACAGAAAATAACCTTCAATTAACCGTTGCCAGAAGGTAGAAAATACACCATGTCCTTCATTGTTGTGAGCAGCACCCTTCACTGCAAACATCTGACTTGGAGGATAGGCGCAATGGTCGTTTGGACATATAGGGGATGATTTACTAAAACAGGAGAGTGCAACATCTGGTGCTGCTCTGTGTAGAAACCAATCCGCTTCCAGGTTTTATTGCCAAAACTTAATTGAGCAAACTGAAGTTAGAAACTGATTGGCCACCATGTACAGCTGCACCTGATGTCCCATTCTCCAGTTTTAGTAAATAACCCCGTAATGTAAATAGACATAACCAATACACAATCCTTCGAAGGACACAAAAATTGTCTACTAATACAAATCTCAAACAGCCGTGAGGAAGCAAAGATGAGAAAATTCAGCAAAAACTCAAAGGCTGCAGGTCCACAGATACCGTGACATACGCCATGCGGAGAGAGCAGAGATGAAAGGGCACCACTAAATATAGAAATTTCATCAAGTGATCATTCATACACAAAAAAATATTACTTACTATCTGCTCTCACCTTTGTGAAGTATCACCAAATTGTGTAATTGGCTACAAGCAAACTATTTTGTTTTGGAAAGAACAGGGAAAGGTTAGGATCGCTGTCTTTGTACCTGCTGGGGGAATTTTGGTTCCCTTACTGTCTGCTTGTTATTGCCGGTAAAGCTAAAATCTCTCCAACAGAGACACAGACAGCAATAAAAACTATTTTTAATAGAGCAGACAAATGAATTCCCTTCACTCCTTGCACTGTCTCTTAGGATCCATTCACACCATCTTTAGCTTTATAATGCAGCGGTATCACCGCTCTGTACCGCACCGTTCTTTTCTTTACTGAAATTTCACGCAGAAATGAATGGCTGCCATGTGGTGCAAGGAGGTGCCTCGCACTGCGCTGAAAAAAATTAGGGCATGCACTACTCTTTTTCAGCGCCCTGTGTCTGCATACCATCGCATCGCAGTGGTGTAAATTGAGCACACAGGTATTTTGCCTGTGTGTTAACCCCTAGACACCGAGCGCACACAAATATGCAGCCTCTCGGCGTCTGGGCCTTGACGCCGAGCAGCCGCATATTTGCATACCATTTAAAAATACATATGTGTTGAGAGCCTGCGTCTTGTGTGCTCCCAGCACATATGTCTGTGACTCACGGAAAGGTCCCGATCTCCCCATGATCGGGACCTTTTCTGATCATGTGACCTCCGTGACAGCGAATAACGGCGGTCACGACTCTAAAACCCCCGCCCCCCGGCTTCTGAAACCAGGCCGGGAGGCGCTGGCGGAAAGGGGTTAATGGAATAGAGCAGGCTGAGTTTCCAGTCCAGCTAGAAAAACTGACCATTGTGTGTTTATCTACTTAGTGTGGTCAGTTTTTAATAGGAAAGCAGAGGGACTGGCAAGAACACCAGGGATTTCACACATAGGAAGCAATACAAAGAGAACAGGATACTTTTTCATACAAGTACATGGTACAGCAGGCACATATCAGGAATAGGAAATGTTGGGTGTACATAGTCTTTAAAGCCCAACTTCAGGCATAGCATTTTTATGTTTCTTAAATCTTTAATTAACACATAAGCATACAAGGATGATTTTAGAATGAGGGGGTGGAAGCACAACACTGGAAAAGGTGTCGAGCACAAACTCTGTTGCGGTGCAACAAGAAGCCAGAAGTGCGGCTCCCGCTGTACATATTAGGATCGCTCAGCGGAGCTTAGACAGCTCCAGAAGTAAAAGAATGACAGTATTTATGTGTTAATTAAAGATGTTCAAAAAGAGAAAAAAAAAAATGACTGTGTCTAGAGCTGGGCTTTCCCTGTAGAAGTCGAATGCAGGGGTTTTGTTGTTACATCTACAACAAGCCTTCTGATGAAGATGGGATTGAGGGGTTGCTCCCTCCACAAGCAATGAAGTCCTCCTGTGTCCCTGATCCTAACTTTTCCATGTTCTGTCCAAAACAAAAAAGTTTGCTTGTTGCCAATTCCACAATTTGGTGATACCTAGCAAAGGTGAGAGCAAATAGTAATATTTTTTGTTTACGTATGAATGATCACTTGATGAAATGACTATATTTAGTGGTGGCCCTGTCATCTCTGCTCTCTCCCCATGGTGTTTGTCACGGTCTCTATGCAGCTGCAGCCTTTGGATTTTTGCAGAATTTTTTTCATCTTTCCTTCCTCACAGCTCTTTGAGACTTGTATTAGCAGACTATTTTTGTCATGCGGTGGGATTGCGCTGGAATAACCACTCAGTGCAGTCCCACCGCATCTGGTGTGAATGGACCCTTAATGTGACAAGGTGTCACCAGAACAAGTTACATATCTCTGCATGTTGCTCTTCGACTACTACAGCATGCTGCGAGCAAAACTAATAGGAAGTCATTATAATTCATTAGAGCAAAAAAAAAATAATTTTTCAGCTTTATGCTAATTTTCAGTAAACATTGAAGTTGATTTACTAAAAGTGGAGAGTGCAAAAAAACTGTGCATGGGAGCCAATCAGCTTCAAAGGCTGGCCATACATTATACAATCTTCTTGAGATTTTTGGTTTAGATTTACCAAAAAACCATATAATAGGAGGCCAAACCTATCAACACATTCAATTGTATCCAATTAGGCAGGCTCTTGCACTACATAGTTGAAGGTAAATCTAAAGGAAATTGGGCAAAAAATTGTAGTATATGGCCAGCCTAACTTCAGCTTGTTCAATAAGGCTTTGGCAATAAAACCTGGAAGCCGATTGGTTTCTGTACAGAGCTGCA